GTGTTTGGGGGGTGGTTCAGAAAAATAAGAGATGTGTTTTATGCCCTTTTTCATATTCAAATGTTATCATAAAGGATCTCATGGTGTCACTGTGATGAGAAAAGCCTGAAGTTCCTCTTGTGTTATTTTCTCGATGCTGTCGTGTTGCTTTGAAGTGGTCTAGATGTATGTCTTTATTGGCTCCAGTAAGAGGTGTGTGATTGTCATAATCTGCATTTTAAGAACAAAAAATAGAGCTATGAATGGAAAGAAATCGATTCATACAACCCCTAGATTATGGTAATGTATGTATCCCCTTTGATAGTAGCTCATTAGTATTGGTTGCATTCAGAGGAAGGTTTAAAATAGATTTGATTTGATGTGACAGCTCCATGATAACAGTTGCCCAAGCAACTCGGTATGTTTGAGTGTTGTTGTCTTTTTTTATTTTTGGAGTGTGAGAGTTTAAGGATGGACGGAGAGATTGCCTATGTTTAGCTCAAGGGAGTTACTGTGGACTGTGGAGATTTTGCTCCCAAATCAAAAGAAAAACAGACAAACTGCTCGCCCTTACGCAGAGTTGTCTAACAGCTGGCTGCGACAAGAAGCAAAAAAAACAGAAAGGTAGAAACTAAACAGACGAGAGTGCAGGCAGACTGAGCGAGAGAGGTAGACAAAGAGATGAGTGAGAAGGACACAAACACTCACAAAGGCAGAGATAGACAGTCAGAGCCCCTGTTTGATCACGGTCACAGCAGCAAACCCCTCAGGAGCAGTTGACTAATCAGTGCTAATGTATTCACTGCTTACTACTACCAGTCTGTCAACTGGGAAGCCTTCACTGCCTCCATGTCCAGACGCACAAGTGTACAGGCACTGCAGCTAATCCACGCAGAATACATTTATAAGGTCCTGAATGGCCATTGGATAGATGTTTTGCTTTTGTTTTTCCTGCAATTTTCTCCCTCTAATGGCTGCACATACTAGCCGTCCCCTGTGATATTAACTGTAAGAAGGTGGAGCAGTAATTCCATCTACGTGCATCTCCATTACTGCATCCTCTTCCTCGAGGGATGCACAGGGATTCAGTGACCTTGGAGGCCCTCGTAAGCGTGTTCCGCTCCATATAAAGTGTATCCAGCTGCATTACTGAGCCGCTATATCCATCTTATCAAGGCTCATACGTAATTAGCTGTTTTGGACTCAATGTGTGCTGTGATTACCTCATTATTGGTTGCTGCTGTGTGTTTTTATTAAGGCTCAGCTACAGTTCATCCCCATTTGCTTCAAAGGTTTTTCTTCCCTGCCTTCAGAAGGGTGCCGGTCTTCCTTACGTGCTCAGAGAGACTTGCAGTCAATCTAATGAGGATCCTGATGAGCGAAGAGGAAGGGGAGGGGGTGTAGATTGCCTGTCCTTCTTGTACGCCTTTTGAACAGACGAGTGAGAGGCCACAGGCTTCAGACAAGCTGTCTGTCTTCAGAGGGGTGGTGTGGTGGCTGGGACTGTCTAATGGTCGTCAGTCAGGAGCGTACCTACCTGCCAGTCTGGTCCAACCTGCCCTGCAGGAAAACGAGCTGAGGTGAGGTCAGGGGGAGGAGAAGAGAGAGAAAACTGGCTCTGCCGCTAGCTGTCTCTGTCTCATTGCTGTTTATTTAAACAACCGCCTTCCCGTGCTGGTGCCTTCAATGTCATTAATGTCCGGGTCAATTCAGAGGCTTATACGTCCAATCGCAGCTGTTTGTATTTAGCCACTAGTTACTCTTTCTAGAACCAGCAGGGTGAGTAATTAGTGGAAGCTTGAGCTCTAAGACTGACACTCCAGTAAATAAAATAAAATTGAATTGAAATTGATATCGTAGGGACCTCTAGGGCGTAATAGCCAGGTGTTATTGAAAAACATGATACTACCAGTGACTGTTTGTTATGGATGGAAACTCACCAGGCAACAGGGCGAAAAGATGAGGTCATTAAGGGATTTTTGTTTGAGTCCTGTTGCAACTGAAATCCCTCAGCTCTACGTGTGTGTGTGTGTGTGTGTGTGTGTGTGTGTGTATGTGTGTGTGTATGTGTGGTTTTTGATCATCTGATCATCAAGCAGGCTCTCACCCTGGTGTTATCTTTTCTCTCCTTTATAGCTAGTGGTTTCTGTAAACAGGATAGAGCGGTGGATACACACCCACTTTATCTTGGAAAGTCATACATCACCTCTCTCTCTCTCTCCCTCTCTCTCTCTCTCCCTCTCTCTCTCTGTGACACACACACACACACACACAGGTAAAGGGCGTATCTCATTACGTCACACGAGCTGCAAGGATGTGTGGTGCGGAAGGAGCTGTCGCCAGTGTGAAAGGCTTTTGCCCGTCAGCGTGGAAAGGGGTTTTGTAAACAGTTTGAAGGGATCCTTGTGGTTGTGGCTGAAGGGATTTTTGGGTTTATGTAAGGAGACACCTCAGCAAAGATGTCCAGCTGTGGTGGAATGTGTCGCTAATGCGCAGCTCCGAGCTACGGGATTACTCAGGTAGGGAGGTTTTTAGCGTTGTCGTGAGTGCAGGTGCTGTGTATCCAGTATCCAGGTCTGTTGTCGCTGTTGTGGTTCATGCAAAGTGTAGCAGATATACCGTGTGTTTCCAGGTAAAGAGACATGAAGCCTTTAAAGAATGTTTTATTTTTATTTTGTGAAAATAAGCTGTTCTGTTCCTACCCACCACTGACACACATTCTGTCTTTCTCTCTTTTTCTCTCCCCCGCGATGTCTTCCTCTCTCCACCTCCTTCCTCCTCCTTCCGTCTCTCTGCCTCTGCAGGGGAGTCAAGCCAGGAGCTGGGCCCCCCTCCGTCGGTGGATGAGGCAGCCAACACATTGATGACGCGCCTGGGTTTCCTTCTGGGAGACAAAGTGAGTGAGGGGCCGGCCGGCACCCAGTACAGCATGGAGGAACCCGAGGCGAGACAGGTAATGGTCTCAGTAATGAGCTGGACACGCAACCGAATCTGCTTTGAGGATGTGACTGAAAGACTCATTTCTGTCTGGATTTCTTTAAAAAGAAGTTACAGCTGTTTCATCATTTCTCAAGGAGCTTCACTTGTGTAGACAAAAACCTACAGACTGAATGATAGACAGTGTTTTAAGATAAGATAATCCTTTATTGATCCTCCCCCAAAGGAGGTGTTTTTTTCTCACAATCAAATCTCATGATGTCACCAGATGCACACAGTCACATTGAGTCAATTTACGGGAGGCGCTGTCAGGGGTTGTGTGAGACTTAAGATACAGGATTGGTGCCAAAAAACCTTGCTTTCTTGATCCTAATCTAATTGTTTTACTGCGTGTGTGATTTTGACACATTTCTATTGTGAGTGGTTGTGCTGTGGAACACGAACTAACACGCAATCTCCGGGTTCGACTTGTTTTGACATTTATCTTCATAATGTCCTTGTTTACACTCTGTTTTGACAGATCTTTGGAAGTCAGGATAGCCAGATCAAAAGACTTGCCCTCAGACACCACAGAGCTTTGGATTCAGCATTCATCAGTGCCTCTCCTTCAAGCATCAGATATCTACCCGTCTAATTAGATTTTTATATAACAAATACTCTCAATTATTTATTTCACAGTGTACTTTAAACTTTGCTCATTGAGAGTAAGTTTCTTGAGGTTACATGCAGCAGGTTCAGGTTAATGTTTCTCTCTCTCACTCTCTCGGTTTCTGCACCGTAACCTTTCAGTTTGTGAATTTGGCAGTTGTGCAACAAACAGCTCTTGGCACAACGGGCCTGCTCTAAGCTCTGCAGCAGATGCCCTGGTTTATTTACCCAAACCTGATTTGACAGGTATGAATTTCACAAATCAAGGGAGGAAAACAGTTGCAGCGTAGAGAGAGAGAGAGAGAGAGAGAAAGTGGGTGAAAATAGGGAGGGGAAAAGGGGCGAACCTGTTGCTGAAGCATTCAAAGGGGACCTAGGTATGGGTTTGCACTAAAGCAGTGTGGATAAGCGATTAGGCTGATGGACTGCCTGTGCTTGATGTGAGCGCTGCTGTAGCAGTGGGGGTGTATAAATTGAGAGAGGTTTATTCAAGCGGCTCTTTTTAGAGACGTGACTCATACTAGCACCCTGCTGCATCGTGCACACAGTACAAACTTATTATTTTAGATATCTGCCCCAAATACTGTTCTCCGGATTGCAGTTTGTTTGATTCATTAACCACCAAATATGACAAGGATTGCCTCGAGACACCATCTATTAGCAGCGTAGAGAGTTGGCTTTTGTTGTAATTTTTGTAATTTGCATGGGATTTGGTATCTTTCAATGGAGAGCACAAATTACAGTAATACAGCAGATTCACACATGTAATCTCGATATTTGCAGGATGCTGGAAGTCTGTCTTAATGTTTGTCATCATAGTCAACTTACTTACCTTTTTCATACTGAAGTTCATTAACAACGAAGCCAGGCAGATATCAAACCGCTGGGGTTTTTTTCTGTAAAACACCAACCTACCATCTTCCGTTTGACATGGTTTAATTCCTACAGTGGCGGTGTCTCTGCTGCCAGACCTCAACAGCTGATGGAACAAGGTGACCTTAACTCGCAGAGCGTGCAGTTAATTGCCTTTCATACTGTCATGCTCTCGCGCCCCGAATAGAGGCAATGCTCCAAGTTCAATCCGATCCTCGTGCGGCGTTTAAGGTCAGACCGCCACAAAGCGAGGTTCATTAGCCCAGCAGATAGAGCTGTAGTGTCGCTGTGTGTTTGTTTGCGTTGGGTTCAAGCTCCTGTAAACATGACGGCGAAGAGCAGAGGGCGACGGTGACTGAAAGAGTGCCTAACAAAATGTTATTCGTTCTCTTAATCAGTCACACACACACACTAACACACTCATAGCAGAGACTAGAGGCCATGTACTGTAGTGGACAGTGTGTTGACTAGTTTACAGATGTAAGCAGAGTTTAATTCAACCACTACGCTATTACTGCAGCATACACTCCCTGTTTATTCCCAGGTACCCCTATACAACCTAATGCAAGGCAGTACAACAGCTCTACCCACATATATTACCGTTAGCAGTCTTTCTAATGGCCAGTGTTTGTGTTTTGTTCTTTCAGAGGGATCTTAATTAAGATATTATGTTATGTATTACGTTATGTTTATTACTGACGTCATAGTTAATTGTGGCGTTGTGCATTATATTGAAACATGATTTCAATATTCTTGCCCCCTCGTGTTTGGAAATGGGGTGAGCAAAACATTAAAGCCAGCGCTCAATATAATGACTTCAAACTACAACCTCAATAATAAACTTGGCTAAAGTTAAATTAGTACCTCTCTGACAGTGGCAATCAAAACCAAACATTATTATCTTGGCTTGGCTGAGCTGTTGCATTAGAGTGTGCTGTTGGAATTGCTTTGCTTTGTTTTGTGTCGTGGACTATAGATTTGCATTTAGTTTTGATAATCAATTAATGCATATGAACAAACCAGCAAATGTTTGGCTTTAGAGATAGAAGAGTCAGTCGGTCCACCATTTTGGTCCAGACTGAAATATCTCAACAACTACTGGATAAATTGCCATGACATTTTGTGCTGACATTCATGGTTCGCACCAGAAAATTCGAATGACTTTAAAGATCCTCCGACTTTTTGTTTAGCGCCATCAAGTCACATTTTACTACTTTTATGGTTTATGACCAAATACCTGAAACAGAAATGACATTCCCACCAACCTGTATTTGTGTTCAGTTTTAATTAGCAAATGCTAGCATGCTAGCATGCTAACATGCTAAAATCAGTTGGTGAACATGATAAAAATTATGATGACTAGCCTTGGCATTTAGCTCACAGAACCATAAGCATGGCTGTAGACTCTCAGCCTTGGTATTTGCTTCTAGGTTTTCTTTGTGGTATAGTAAAGTAGTATATTAAATTAATCTGGGCTGTTGGTCAGACAAAAATTAATTAATCATAATTAATCACAAAAATAGGACTGCAGGTATTAAATGCTTATTTTACCAAACATAACATTAGTTATTGGGAACAATTGAGGATCAGTAGTCTTGCTCAACGACACTTTGAAATGTGGACTAGAGAACCCGAGGATCAAACCACCAACCCAACGATTCATTGGCTCGCCTCAGGAGGCTGTCAACAGATAGTTGACAGATTAGTCAATAATGAAAATAATT